GGGAGGTAGATAGCCTGTTTTCTTTTGAGTAATGGAGATTTTGCAGTATCCTTCCCCTGCTATGCCCACCAAGCCACTCCCACCAAGCCACACCATGGCCACAGAACCGGTAGTAAAAAAATTGAATTTCACCACCGGTGAGGATCCTCCATTACTCAAAAGAAAACAGGCTATCTACCTCCCCCCCCCCAAAAAAAAATTGGGAAACAATTTGAGAGGTTACAACCCAAAGTTGATTTTTTCCCCCTTCAAAAGACAGCTGGAATTTCTTGGTGTTTCCCCCCTCCCTCTTTGAAAACATTTCTCTCATTAGCCAAGAAATTTCTTCCTCCGGCTGCCCCTTCCTCAATTATCTTCTAGTTTGGGATTAGTTTTCTTAGCTAGCCTGGAAAAAAAAAGTTTTTCGTTAAAGATAGACATGTCTATCTTTAAGCAAAAACAAAAAACAAAAAACAGGCACACATTATTATATTAACTTTATTAGGGGGGTCTTCAAAGAAATCGCCAAAGGAACAGTGTCAATGCTGTACAACTCCCCGCTCCCCCCCCCCTTATACACAGACACACACTCCCATGCACACAAAATCTGCACCAAGGATCGTCTTAACATTGCTGCAACACAATCGCAACCTGAGCCATGTGATGTGAGATCCAATTTCACTTCACGGTCTGCGCTTTACGTTAAAGCCAACAACACATCGACTCAGACACAAACACACACCTCAAAAGTATAACAACAACAACAACAACAAAAAAGCCTGAAATTGAAATTACAGCCACAACCAACTTCCCTCCCCCCAAACCGCCCTGCTTTAGTTCAACAGCCACCAAGAAGCAGTTGGTGTCAAACCTTATTTCGTTATTTGCTAAATTAAATAATTTCTTTAGAAAAATTTGCCTTCCCCTTGCCGCAAGCGAACACATTGGATTGCTTATTAAATAGAGTATCGGACAAAAAAAGAACTCTCCTGTAAACTTCACTCAACGTTGGCAGTTGAACGGTATATATATATTTTTAAATTTTAAATTCAAGTAACAAAGGTAGACCGTGGGTTCTCCCAGCCCATAGCAACACCGAAAGTGTGAATTAGAATTGTGTGCCTGCTGCCATCCCACTGCCTGACCGATCAGATGAAATTATTCAGAAGAGGAAAAGGAGGAAGGGAGGGAGGAAAGACAAAAGAGAGGGGGGGGAGAGAGAGATGATAATGGATGGAGGGAGGGAGGGAGGGAGGGAAAGAGGAAGGAAGGAAGATAGAGGAGGAAGGAGGGGAACAAAGGAAGGATGGACAGAAGATGGGGAAGGAAGGAAGGAGGAAGGAAGGAGAGAAGGAAGGGAATGAACGAACGAAGGAAGGAAGATGGGGAAGGAAGGAAGATGGGGAAGGAAGGGAGAAGGAAGGAAGGGAACAAAGGAAGATGGGGAGGAAGGAAGGAAGAAGGGGAATGAAGGAAGGAGAAAAGGAAGGATGAAATGAAGGAAGGAAGATGGGGAAGGAAGATAGAATGGATGGAAGATGAGGAAGGAAGATAGAAAGGATGGAAGGAATGAAGAAGGGGAATGAAGGAAGGAGAAAAGTATGGAAGGGAGGAAGAAAGATGGGGAAGGAAGGAAGAAAGGAAGATGGGGAAGGGAGAAGGAAGGAAGCTGGGGAAGGAAGGGAGAAGGAAGGAAGCGAACGAAAGAAGATGGGGGAGGAAGGAAGGAAGAAAGGGAATGAAGGAAGGAGGAAAGGAAGGAAGGAAGATGGGGAAGGAAGGAAGATAGAATGGACGGAAGGAATGAAGAAGGGGAATGAAGGAAGGAGGAAAGGAAGGATGGCAGGGAGGAAGAAAGATGGGGCAGGAAGGAAGATGAGGAAGGAAGGGAGAAGGAAGGAAGGAAGGAAGGAAGGGAATGAAGGAAGATGGGGGAGGAAGGAAGGAAGGGGAATGAAGGAAGGAGGAAAGGAAGGATGAAAGGAAGGAAGGAAGATGGGGAAGGAAGGAAAATAGAATGGACGGAAGGAAGATGAGGAAGGAAGATAGAAAGGATGGAAGGAATGAAGGAAGGAGGAAAGGAAGGAGGGAAGAGACGAAGAAAGATGGGGAAGGAAGGAAGATGGCAGATGCCATCAAATTGGTTTCTTCAAGGAACCAGGGGCTATAAAAGCAAAGAAGAGTAAATAACAACAAACACAACATAATGCACACAACCTAGTGTGGATCCTAGAGAACCTTCCCTTTGCAACACTCCTGATGCTTGAAACGATCAGCCAGTTCTTCCCCTCTCCTCTCTCCTCCTTACAATCTTCTCTTCCAGCCCATGTGTCCCACCGCAAGCCTTTTGCTGTTTCTCTGAGCACTTTGCAAGCAGCGTTGTTACTATTACTATTATTTAAACGGGAACCAACAAAGCCGCGTGTTTCAAAAAAAAATGATAACCATCAGCAGAGGAGAACGCAACTGTCTCTCCCCCCCCCCCCCCAAGAGCAAACAAGGTTGTGACAGGCCCTGGGAATATCAGTGGCTGTGTTGCACACTCGCAACACGCTGGGAATAGCCCCAGCTTTCACCAAGCAAAACATTTCTCCCTCCGAAGGCGTGCAAAACTCCCTCCTTTAGGACAAGAGACCAAAAGGCAGAGAGGATCGGCTGGGAAAAAAAATAAGCGTTCTTGGAAAAAAGTGTGCAGGGTGTAAAAACCGGCTGCCATTCCTGGGCACGCTTGTGTGTGCACGCAATCACACGCTCCGTATTGATCGAGAGCCGTTTACTCTAGAATGGACTAAGGGTATCCTCATTTTATCCCCGAGTCAGAATTGCTAGCAATGTCGCCTCTTTGCAAAACTTCGTAACCGCTGTGCTTGGAGCTAGCAAAAAAAAAAAAAAATCTCCTTTTTTTTCTTTTTGCAGCCAGAGAAAAATAGCAATAGCAATAATAGCAATAACAGTAGACTTATATACCGCTTCATAGGCCTTTCAGGCCTCTCTAAGCGGTTTACAGAGTCAGCATATTGCCCCCAACAACAATCCGG